ATTGTTTAAGCATAAAAGGTGAGATTTTGAAGGTGGTGGGATAGTGTCAATGGAGGAAAAGGAAACTAGTGTTGTGTCTGAGAGAGCCTAGCTAGTGGGGTTTGAACCATTTATTTATTTATTGCCCTTTTTCTCCGTTTAGGTCGAACAAGTTAATTTAATTTGTTTATTACAATTGTCAACAGATTTGTTATATGTAAAAAGTTTTGTTTTTGGTAATTTATTATTGGCTTTAGAATATGTGTNGAAGCGTTTCCCATGGAGTATGATATTTACATTAGCGACTTGAATTCAACATAGTTTAATCGTTAAATTAATTGATTAACCAACTAATTTATTTTGGAGTTTGTTTATTAAGAAGAAGAGGAAATGTCAATTCGATTTATGCAGCCAAACACACCTTTTTGGGATACTTATTTAAGACTTTTTGAAACATATATATGGCATCATTCCTATAAATTATTATTTCTTTCGTGTAAAATGTAAATCATTGTTACTTTTTTGTATGTATACTCCAAACAGTAAAAGTTGTCTCCGACTGAAATTATAACCAAACATTGGAAGCATATTCCAACTGGAACGATAGTTAAGTCCCATTTGCTAACAAGCACAACAACAATGAGGTAGAGGACTACTACAAAAACTATTGGTTATTAAAAAGATTGAAACAAATTACATATTATAAAAAAAAACTTTAATTTTCATGATTAAACGACTATTTCCATTCTTTCCTCGCTCTATCACCTTGTGAATTTTTTAATGTTTGTCCTTTTTTTTTTTTAGTTAAAAATATTTTATTTAAATTGCAAGGAAATTACATGATTATGACCTTAGTAGTTATAGAGTTCAGTGAAATTAATTTGTGAGAAATGCTTAAACATACCTAGCTTTTAAGGACACAAGTGCTAAAAGATTAGAGAAGGTCCTCGAGAAGATATCTTTAGTAGGCATGTGAATCATAATGCATATTTTAAGTCTAAATTCTCATAATGATTAATCGCCAAGAAAATAAGTAGTGGAATGGATTCAAATTTGTTTTCTATTGTACAGCTTGTTGAATTTAAAGAAAATGGGAATCCAAGGAGGAGCACAAATTATTGTTTATCATATTAGGGCATGACATACAGTTACCATTACCATAACGTAACATACTATATTTGTATGTTTCCTTCAAATCAACAAATAATTCATCAATCCTTTCTTGATTTTAGGGTATAAGTTTGTTTATTTATTTTCATTCCCTCCACAACGTTCTTTTCATAGCTCACTTTGTTTGCTTTAGGAGAAGAAAAAAAAATTATAGCTTAAAAATCATATGGTTGTGAAAACCGATAGCAACAATCACTTTAATTGATAGGCACAACAATATCACCGACGTAACATCTTGTATATAAATTTCTCTCAAACTATATATATTGTTGTTGAAATTGATAAGTCATTCAATATTTTCCGTTGTAAGATCAAAGATTAAAAATGCAAATATGTCAAAGATTAGGTCCACAAGTAAATTGATCACATGTTGACTAAAAAGAAAAGTATTTTTATCATATTGTTTAATAACCATTTCCGAAGTGGATGCGGACCTTTCGGGAAATTAATAGAGAATATATGGAGTATTATTTAAGATCAAAAAGTACCTTGAAATATTAATATTTAAAATTGCATTTACCTAAAAACAGCGGACTTTTATACAATCTGAAAATGCATTTTCAAATATATACATCTCCCTAGCTACTAGTTAAAGTTAAATTAATTTTGCTGCGAAATTGATGATCAAAAATGATTAAACAGGTAGTATAACTTTTTAATCATAATTTTTCTTTCGTTAAGAATTTTCTATCAGTTGAACACCAACTTGTCTTCAACTTATTGCTTCAGCTCCGAAGAATCAGCCTAACTCTAGGTAATATTTTTAATATTAAAAACAAAACATGCAAAATAATAACATTCGGAAACATCATT